GAGGTTCGGGGAGGTCTGGGAGGAGGTTCGGGGAGGGAGGGGGAAGACGCGCAGTGTGAGGAACGAGGTTCGGGGAGGTCCGGGAGAGGGATAGGGGGATACAAGGTTCGGGGAGATAGGGGGAAGAGGGGCGATGGGAGAGGGGAGGCGGGGAGTGGGGGGAAGGAGGCTCGGGGAGGGAGGGATCGAGACTGGCTGTTCGTGAAGATTGATTGATTGATTGTTGATGTTCGGGAAATAGGGGGCACGAAGTGCGAACCAGGTGAGCTCCCTCCCCGCCCTTTTTTTTTTTTTCCCCGGATATCTTGTCCCTGCCAACACACTCCGGACAGTCCGGTGTCCGGTGGCATCCAGTGTCCGGTGATGTCCGGAACACCGGACAGTCCGGACTGGTCCAGACACAGGTCCGGGAAACAGTCCAGAAGTGTCCGGTGTCCGGCTCCGCGGTTACCATGGAAAAAAGGGAAATTTCAAATTTTTGAAAAGAAAGAAATAAAAAATAGAAAAACTCTGAAAAAGAAAGTAAAAAGGAATATCCAACAAAACAATTGTGTCCACCCTCAAGTCTCAACATACCCAGTACAGAGTTAATAACGACCTCTTAACACTGTGAACACAAAAGCACCCACTAAAGAACATAAGATGACAGCTGAAGTTTGAACTTTGAACTTTGAAGTTTGAACTCTGTCCCTGTGGGGGGGGTGTAGAACTCTCAGCATTTGTTGCTCAGGAATTTCTTATGCTACTGAGCCGATGTAGCTGAAGTAATCTTAACAGAGCACTTCTAGGTTTCTTTATTATTAATTGAAAAGAAATAGAAAGAAAAATATATATATTACTCTCGTAAGAGCCTGAACATGACGGTCATAGAGTTGACAGGGAGCTTTACACCGGGGAAGCAAAATGGGGAAAAAAAAAAAAAAAAAAACACTTAGAAAAACCTCCCTGGCAGCATGGATTGCGATGACCCCACACCCACTCACTTTCTTCTGTGCTGTCTGTCCAGCTGCTCCTCGTCCTGGTCTTCCTTCGCCGCCTTTCTTGCTTTTTTCTTCTTCTCCTTCTCTTTCTCCTTCTTCTCCTTCTCTTTCTCCTTCTTCTCCTTCTCTTTCTCCTTCTTCTCCTTCTCTCTCTCCTTCTTCTCCTTCTCTCTCTCCCTCTCCTTCTCTTTCTCCCTCTCCTTCTCTTTCTCCTTCTTCTCCTTCTCCTTGTCCTTCTCTTTCGTCTTTTCCTTCTCTTTCTCTTTCTTCGCTTTCTTCCTAGCTTCCTTCTCCTCTTTCTTTGCTTCCTTTCCCTCTGATAATTCCTTCACCTCGCCCTTTAGGTGATCCTTGCCCTTCAGCCTGCAGCAGAAACAAACAACACAGACCACCCTTCTGTTAGCCTGCGACTTAGCATGCAACTTAGCATGCCACCTAGCATGCCACCTAGCATGCCACCTAGCATGCCACGTAGCATGCAACTTGGCATGCAAGGAAGCATGCAACTGAGCATAGACTGAGCATGCCAGTTAACATGTCAAGTAGCATGCGACTCAGCATGCCACTTAGCATGCAACTTAGCATGCGAGGTAGCATGAGACTGAGAATTCCACTTAGCATTCCAAGTAGCATGCAACTTAGCATGCAACTTAGCATGAGACTGAGAATTCCACTTAGCATGCCAAGTAGCAAGCAACTTAGCATGCAACTTTGCGTGCAACTTCGCATGCAAGGCAGCATGCAAGGCAGCATGCTAGGGAACATGCGAGGTAGCATGCAACGGAGCACGAGACTGTGCATGTATGCCAAGTAGCATGCACCTCACCATGCAATTTGGCATGCGACGGAGCATGAGACTCTGCATGTCACTTAGCATGCCAAGAAGCATGCAACTCACCATGCAACTTGGCATGCAACATGCAAGGTAGCATGCGACGGAGCATGAGACTGTGCATGTCACTTAGCATGCCAAGTAGCATGCAACTCAGCATGCAACTTGGCATGCAACTTGGCATGCAACTTGGCATGCAACTTGGCATGCAACTTGGCATGCAAGGAAGCATGCAAGGTAGCATGTGACGGAGCATGAGACTGTGCATGTCACTTAGCATGTCACTTAGCATGTCAAGTAGTATGCAACTCATCATGCAACTCACCATGCAACTTGGCATGCAACTTAGCATGCAAGGTAGCATGCGACTGAACATGCAGCTGAGCATCCCACTTAGAATGGCAAATGGCATGCAACTTAGCATGCGACATAGCCTGCAGCTTACCGTGCCAGCTTAGCATGCAAGCTTAGCATGCAGATAGCTGTGCTAGTGCTGTCTCTTATACACATCTAGATGTGTATAAGAGACAGCAACTTAGCATGAGACTGTGCATGTCACTTAGCATGCCAAGTAGCATGCAACTCAGCATGCAACTTGGCATGCAACTTGGCATGCAACTTGGCATGCAACTTGGCATGCAACTTGGCATGCAAGGAAGCATGCAAGGTAGCATGTGACGGAGCATGAGACTGTGCATGTCACTTAGCATGTCACTTAGCATGTCAAGTAGTATGCAACTCATCATGCAACTCACCATGCAACTTGGCATGCAACATGCAAGGTAGCATGCGACGGAGCATGAGACTGTGCATGTCACTTAGCATGCCAAGTAGCATGCAACTAAGCATGCAACTTGGCATGCAACTTGGCATGCAACTTGGCATGCAACTTGGCATGCAACTTGGCATGCAAGGAAGCATGCCTGTCTCTTATACACATCTAGATGTGTATAAGAGACAGGTCCTCTTGCCTAAATAAAAACGAACATGCGCACCCATCTGCTTTTGAAAAAGGACTAGTTCCAAAGCAGTTCGCATATATTGTCAAATAGCTATCTACTAAAACAGTGCACTTTGTGAAACAAACAAAGAAAATAGCCGACAGCATGAACAACAGAAACCATTCTTTTGCTCTTGGCTGTGTAGTTCCTTTTTTTTTTTTTTTTTAACACGCTAGCTAGTAGCTACGCATATCTATGCATCAGTCTACCCGCAAGCCATACAGACAACGGACTGCAACCAACAAGCAAGGGAGTAATGACAGGTCGGAGCACACTAGAACCATGCACCTAAATCTACCTGAGGGTTATGGGTTGAGCCTATCCCTTCGGGGTTGAACCTAACACCCTAGAAACAGATGGAAGGGACAATAGCATTCCCCACCAACCAACCAGGAGGGGCAAGCTGTGTATCTCAGCTGGTGAGCCTGCAGCGTGCCTTAGGAGGCCGTGGGATTTCCCGGTTTGAAATGGAAGGCGTGAGGAATTGAACCCACCTCCTGAATGCAGGTTTCGCGCTCTCCCAACTGAGCTAGGCTGCCGGCCCTCTGTGCAGTTCTTTCTCTTCTTTAATGACTTCGGTTTTTTTTCATAGTTTCTCGTTTGTTATATCTTCTTTTAGATTCCCCTTTACTGTGCCCCTCATGTACAAGGCTCGCCACATTGATGTAATTACGTGTGAGCTGCCTACATGCGCGCATGCCAGCCAAAATGGCGAACTTGCATGGCGTGATAAAGAGGCGGAGTAGAGAGAGAGAGAAAGAGAGAGAGAGAGAAAGAGAGAGAGAGAGAGGAAAAATGGAGAGATGACACAGGGAAAGTAAGGAGTCAAAGGGTCAGGAGTCGGTCTGTCCTTAACGACAGAAACGTATTTTCAGGAGTGGAATAGAAGGCCAAGTACGATATAAAACACTGAACTTTCTTCTTTTTCTAGCATGCTGAACATGAGAAATAGATCAGGAAAAAATAGGGAAAAAATAAGAAAAAGAAAAGATATCACCGCTGAGCCCAAGAAAGGCAACGTCAGGCATGGCTGCAGTGAGAACAAGGTGGGGTACACAGTTCAATGACGGTGGCCGCAATGGGGTGCAGTGCTTGTGCTAATAAGCTAGCAGGAATCTGGCCAATTTCACGAGCAGATTGATGCTTCTAAGCATGGACATAGATAGCAACAGCTGGGCGTGGCACCGAGTCTAACACCATCAAAGCCCAGTTGAGCCCACCAGGCAGGGTCAACCTGCATTGGTGCACTGCATGTCGTCAGTACACATGGATCTGGTCTAAGAACCGACTGGATTCACGCTGACTAAGCACAAAATAACATAACAACATGGGCACCGGGGCCTGGCCCACAGGTACAGCTCAGTGGGCGAGGTCAAGGAACGAACTTCAGTTGAGGCTCAACTGAGCTGTGATCAACATAGCATGAACCTGGTCCAGATGCGGACCACATTCATGCACAGGCAGAATCACCGCGCCTCTGTTGAGACCATTGGGGAACATGGTTGTTCTTCCTGCCCCTGCAAAGTGCGATGCTGGCCCCCAAGATAAAATGAACCTGGCCCACATTGAGAGCAGATCCATTCACCGGCAAAAATCATTGCCCCTGTAAAGTGCATTAAGCTGCATAAACAACAAATTTACCTTTCTGCCAGAAGATTCCTCTCACTCCTTTCACCCGAAGAAAGCTTACGGTGTTCCCACCGCCTCTCCTCCTTGCGTTCCGAGTCCTCACTCCCTTCCTCCTCCTCCTCCTCCTCCTCCTCCTCCTCCTCCTCCTGCTCCTCCTCCTCCTCTACCTCCTCTTCCTCACTATCATAATCATCCCCTCCACCATTCATGCCCTCGGTCTTCCCATGCCTGCCAGCTTTATCATCTCCTCCTTGTGGTCTCTCCCACATCACTATCGCCATCTCCTCTCGCCTTCGTTTCCTTGAGGAGGTGGGCTCGTTAACCTTTCTTGTCGCATCATCCTCCACCCCATATATGTCATTCTGGTCCGCACTCATTAAGGCTCCCATTCGCTCCCCACCCTCGATCGCCAAGATCTCACCAACCTCATCCTCCTCCAGGCGTGACCCGTCTCGTTTAACACTGGAAGACAGGAGAAGGGGAAAAGCCAATTCAAAAGCAAAATCAGAACGAAAACGCAATCGTAACAAAAGCGATATCAGAACAAAAATACAACTGGAACATAAGCAACATCAGATGACAAAAAAAAAAAAAAAAAAAAAAAAAAAAAAAAAAAAAAAAAAAAAAAAAAAAAAAACATCAGAACAATGACGTCATTGGGACAAACACAGGCAAGGCTTCTCATAGCTCCTGTCAAGTCACTCCTACCCCTGGAAACTCGATGCTGATAGATCCTGTCGAGTCTTGCCTGACAGTGATGTATTGTCCCTGGGGCCAAGTCCCACTACCTTCTTCCCCCAAATACAACGTATGGTGATTATAGCCGTATCTAGACTGAAAGATGCCTCAAATACAGCTATAATGACCGTACGTTGTATTCAGGGGAAGAAGGTAGCAGCGTCCCTAACTCAAACTCAACGCGATTTAGGGTGCTGCGGAGGAAGAAGTAGAGACCCCACCAACTGATATATCATCACATTAAGTCGCATATCTATCAACTTCGTATCTAACTAAAAAAAAGAGCGCACATCGCAAAACAAATGAAGAAAATAGCAGACAGCATGAAGCACTGCCAAACCATAATATTGCCTTTCCCTGTGCAGTTCTTTCTTTTCTTTCCTTATTTTGGCTTTCTTTTTTTCTTTTATTCTTTTTTTAAAGCCCTTTTGCAAGGCCTCTATTCCACTGGTGGTAAGAGAACCACCGGAATTGAGTCTTCGCCTGTCGGGTTGCTCCTCCTATTGGTGGGGAGCGACACCTGCTGGAAACCGGGTCCAGCGTCCCTTGGATACATCTTATGAGTACAGAGTTCGCCGGGGCTGTGGCCTTGCCAGTTCCTATCATAGAGCACCTTTTCCTCCGGGCTGCTTCGTTCACCCCCCTACTTCTGGCGCTCCAATTTCCTATGAACCCATCCCCCACCTGCAGCCTTGCTTGTTGTGTCCGTCTATCTTTTGCCTCGTTAGTGGTGTCTACAGCCCCCTTGTCACATATTTCCTGTGGGTTAACCTCATGAGCTAACCTGATTGACCTGAGAAAAACTCTTACAGTCCCTCAATGCTACTATCCTTGTGGCATCTCCAGACAGTGATGAAAATTAATTTGACAGACTACCCTGCTCCTGTACAGCACGAGAATTTGTAGTTTGCCTACACAACTTCAGCCCTATCTTCTATTGACCTGTCTGTGCCGTTTTCAGCAAGAGCGGCTTTCTCTTTCCCTGTCAGTTATAGCACGGCAGGTACGATGTGTTTCCAGGAGACACATTGTTGCCTTGTCTGAAGTGGACGTCGTCTGGATCCCTCTGAGTTGCCATTTTTAGCAATCGGTCATAGAGCTGCTGATGCTGGATGATCCACGTGGCTGGTGGCTGAGCAGGGAACAGGGCAGTGAGGGGGTGGGGTGAATGGGTAGTTGGGGACAGGCGAGGGA